ATAATTTGATTGATGCCGACCTGGTTGGTGCAAAGATTGTGAAGGCGTACACAGGTCTCAAGGAGATTGCCACATTGACTGTTCGCATCCTGACCAACTTCAAGAGGCATACGCAGCTATCTAAATGATCCCTGCAAGGCCCTCATACCCCACTCTGCTGTCTGACAAAAGGAAAGAAGCTTGCAATCAAAAGCCAAGACTCTAACTCTCTCAGCTGAACTGCTGGAAAGTACGTCACCTTGCTTCCTTGGAGAGCAAATTTGACCTGCAATCTGATTTGTTCCATGAGGAAATGCAGTGTCTGCAACTAAGTAGTAGCCGTTGGGTGTTTCCTCAAGCAACTTGTCGTAGATAGGTCAAGTGATACGCAAGTTGTGCCAGCTTCTGGGGCAATTAAGGTGAGCTGCAATAATCCTGCCTATAGTATCACCTTGGCATAAGTTGGTGAAGCACTCAGCAATAAAGCATACACACTTTGTGTCGTGGGCGTAGCCTCGGCCTTCTATTATTTTTCCATTTTCTCCAATTTTCTCCAGTTTATCCCATGTTTGTATGACCTTCCAAATGTCGTTGCACACTAGTGCCAGTTTACAAGTCCTAGCCACGTGCTAACATCTCAGGATCACATCACCAATGGGCACGCATCAGTGCATCAAATGCGCCTACATCACTGCCACCTCGTTGCCACATCACACTTCTTTGGTAACAGCCACGCTCCAATCTCCATCGGACTTCCTATCTCCAAGTCTGATCGGCAACAGACATTCAATCCCCATCGGCCTGACAACGTCATATAAATGACACACCAGCCCCCATTTCTCTGCTGAGTCACTTAGATACTTGCAAACGCTGTAGCCACAGTCACTTTGGTAATGTCTGGTCCGTGCGTGACCTAAACAGTATATAAGGACCCCCTTTGTCGCTACCTAGCCCCCATCTCAACCTCTAGGTTATTGGGCTGGATAAGCCTTTTGTTTGTATTTAGACTACTTACTAATGATTACTTGGTTATTGGGCTAGCTGAACAAGCCAGTACAATCATTGCGAGACTGTGCTCCGCGCTGCCTCTTGGTTAGATCCACGTCGCTATCCCTTGTGTTGCGTCAATGTCAGTCCACAACACCTTGTGGATCAAACACAAATACTGAACTTATGAAATGCGCATGTAGCCAACCATTGTAGGTTGCATTCTTAACATCAATGTTATTGTATGCGGTTTGACATGGGAGGTTAAGACCGTCAACAGATCTGAATGCCCCTGTAAGTAAGTTATGTCTCGCACTGATAAGAGTTGTGTTCTCCTCAAACTGATCTCCTTTGGGCCAAATGATTTTACACTCTGGCATAGAGCACAGCATCTTGAATAGGACACTCAGGGCAAAGTTGATGTAACGTGAGACGGTGGTTGGAATCAGCATGAAGATTTGCTGCAGGTTAATCTCGTGCATAGTTGAGTTGAGGTAGTGAAGGACAAGGCCAAGAGCACCAACTGCATCAAGTGAGCAGCGGCCTAGCCTGGGTGCGCCAGTACTGGAGACATCATTGCGCGGAATTGTTTCCATTCATCGGCAAATCCACTCTCCATGATATAATCGAAGAATTTCCGCATTGCGGCTCAGCGCTCAGCGCTCGACGTTCAACATCAACCGCACCTGACAGATGCTGTGTGCCCGGCGATTGCTTGATTAACTCCACTCCATTTGGTGTCTACCCAGCTACTTTCGGCATTGGGAATGTGCTGTAAAACCGATTAAGCTAGCGTGATGCAGGCGTGGTCGCGACGCAGGCTGAGGATGGTAGTAACGGGCCACGAAAAGCGTCAGGTCAAAGCCCCTGATTACGTACACGGGCTTTGTGGCGCCTACGGGCTGTTTCTCTCCGACCACGACCACCCACACATTGCTTCCGCAGTCAAGCTGGGCATTAACCCGGCGCTGTTGAACTGGCATCTTCTTCCGCTCCAGGTCCTGTTGCGCCTTTTGCCCCCTGCTCGAGCGCGCGCCGTGTGGCCCGGCTCAGCACGAGGCGCTGGCTGCCTTTGACGGCCGTGACTCAATCTCTACCACACACGAAGCACCCAACAACGTTCATCAAGATGCTGTAGGGTGTCCTGCCATCTCTACCTGAGGCTGGAACACCAGGGGCAAAGGTGTCGTTTTCATTGCGCGTACCAATACTCTCCACGCCCAGCTGGTTTGATGGAGCAGCCGAGCAGGCTCAGCTTTTTGTTCTGCTCAACATCAACTCCTATATCGGACTGTGTAGCGCGAAGCCGACCTGGTCCGTGACCGTCATCATCGCCGCGGGATCAGCGACGTTGATGTAGGATACCAAGGCATAATTGGGTTTCAGGACATGAATAGATGTGCGTTTTGCTCGCCTCCTGCAGGTGCATTTGCTGTTCTCATCTCGGTTTTGTTGCGCAGACTCGCGGATCCACCCGGCAAAAGCCCCAGCTGACATGTACAAAGATGCTCACGCTCGCCGCCCAGCATGCATTGCCCACCGGTGGGTAAAGATTGCACAGCGATGGCAAGAAACGACCCTATGGGTGCTAAGAGGCCGCGAGCTCTCATCAGTCATGGCGGCAGGCGGACTAGCTGGACGCGTTCTGACAGAGGGCGGCTGAGATCGATATATGAGCAAGATGAGCTCGGCTGGGTGCAGGCGATAGTACGGGGGCTCTTGGCGATGGGCAGGATGGGAGGTGGGAGCGTGATTGCGAGCGGGTAGTTCAGAGTGTAGAGGTGTGCTTACTATTCAAACTCGTGCGTACTCCGTTACTGATATCATCAGACGACACAGCTCACCCAAGCTACTGCCTATGCAGACAGCCGTGCTGAAGGAGCGCGCTCCAAATCATGCAGAGCTGAAGGTCCCGCAGGCTTGGCGATAGTCCAGCACGATGTTTGTTAACTCAGGTCCTCTCTCCCTTGTTCCAGATCAGCTTGTTCACGCACCTCGACGCGTTACATCCCTGTCTCCCAGTTAAGCAGCCCACGTGCATGCACAAGCATCGAACTGGAGACAGCACCCGCACAATGGCCTCGACTTCAGCCAGGATTCGCTCCCACTCAACTTCGAGCGGCCCCTGGTCGGGCACATCCGCACGCTTGACAGGCGTGCACCGCTCTTGCGGCCAACTCTATCCATCTGGTCTGCTGCAGACCCACCAAAGGTTGTGGCGCCAGAGAGATACTTAACGGCCTTGTGAGCATCGGTTACATGCTGCGCAACGTACGGCAACATGCATGGCCACAGGCTACACCACCTGTTCGTTACGCGGCACGTGCCACAGAATTGCAGACGGCCAGATCAACGTCAGATCCTGCGTCATGGTCAACGGCAAGAGCAAGCCCCCCCTGATTGTAATCGTCGGCCACGGGGTGCGTACTGGCATTTGTGTCTTCTAGTCCAACAGCAAGCTTAACTCAACGTGCTTTTTTTTAGAACGCAACGTCGACGACGCGTGCGTGCCAATCTGCAAGCTGCTTGGCGAGGCTGCCAGCGCGGCAGTCCCACCCATGTTGCCAATGGACCCTGATGTAAGTTGCATTTGGCACAGTTCATCGAAAATTTGCCTGATGTGGACGTTTATGCAGAGTAGGGAGGTTGAAAGTGATTTATGTTGGCTGAGACCGGTAACGAAAAACCGTTCTGGTTGGCACAACGCCCTGTATTTGGTGCAAGCGACTACCATCGTGGCATTCGGGAGGTCATTCCTGTATGTAAGAGCTTAGGGCGTTGAAATCTGGAAGCCTAGTCACACAATGCTGGAAATCTCTTGTAGGACCGTCTGTTTGTAGACCCTTTCTCGCTGGTGGGCTGGCCTGTGGCGCAGGAGCGGCCTAATATAACCCTAACCCAATCTGATTCAATTTGGCGCCAAAAGCTCGGCAAAAAGCGACAGGCGTGTTTGCGCTCGAGCGTGTCGAGCTCTACGCGATTTCCTCCTCGAGGCCGGCGTACTAGACACCGCCGTCGCTGCCAGACTCTCTCAGTTGTTGTCCGGCTCCGCAGCGCACCGATGGATCACGCCAGCGGCGCACCTGACCAATCCGTCCAGGGCCCGCCCGTCTAATAAATTGGTTCATAATGCCCGCTCAGTCCTAGTATTGGCTGTTCAAATGGGGTGACTGCCTCGCTCAGCCTCGCGCGTCGCCGTTCAAAATTTTGCCGCCGCCGTCTCGAGCCTGGTGCGCACTGCCAATTCCGGTTTGCGGCTGCACGTATCCTCAGGATCCGCGCCGCTCCACGCGAAAGCCTCAGCTCAATGAGCTCGATGTCCTGCGAAAATGGAAACATCACGAATACTGTGCTGCTCGCTCGACCGACCATCTACACCGCCCAGCACAGCACAGGCATCACAAATGGATCCTGAGAGATGTCTCGCACCACCCAAGCAGACGGGGTAGCTGATGCGCAGAGGAGACGATGTGTCAGATGTGCAGGCAGCGAACGGTTTTTGGGATATTGGTGCGTCTCCGTGTATCGGTACTCTCGTGAAGCCGCTAACGTTATCAGCTTTTTGTGTGCCAGCTTACAGCCCAAATGAACCCACTAAGCACAACAGTCTCGATATCTGCGCTTCGGCATACACAATCCTCATCTCGGCGGCGCCGAATGCGAGCTGCACAAGTGACAGTACCTATGTCAGCACAGTTTGGACGCCTGCGGTACGCGCATGCGCTGTCGCTGAAGTTTGTGACGGGCTACCGGAGCAGTGAGGAAGGAGGCGACAAGGTACAACGCATGCGCCCCTGTCTAGGTGCACATGATTTTCTCTCGGAACGGCAAGCTGTACTAACTGCCCGCAGAGTAAAGATGGCATTTATACATTTCACGAACTTGCGTTACAAACGGACTTCGTAGGACTAGACCAAGCAAGCAGATCTGAGCAGGTGCGTGGAGTAGCAACAGATCTCCGACCCGTGCTAAAGTACAGATAGCTGCTAGTTTGGCTCTAAGCGCCGCCCCAGCTGCGTCTGATTATGTCTCCCGCTCATAGAGGGCCTTTGCCGCCACATATTTATCTGGAATATCTCGATGGTGCCACCACGATGCAGTTGAATAGCTCACGGGAATACATGTCTCTTCCGGGCTCTCGTGGGTCTTGCAAGCTCCTCAGAAACTTCCTGCGCCCATGTCCCGTCCGTTAGCAACGCACCGTAGAGTGCACCAGTGAGGATGGCGACACCTACAAGGCTCGCGGTGGTGTTGGTAAGGATGCACGCAAGAAGCGAAGGAAGAACGTCCCACCATCGCCATCTTTTCCAGCGATTCTTCGTCAACCTGCGGTGCTGCTTCGCCTCCGGTACCCCAACCATCTCTTCCACTGCCTCCGCAGCATTCACCTACACCCTCCCAGCAACTTCTACCGCACAACTCCCCTAATTTCCCCTCCTAGCAAAGATTTGCAGCCGTCTCCGATTTCTCATGAGTCTACCAGCAGGCACCGTTATATTATAGCCAGGTCATCCCATTGGATGTCTCGCGCGGACAGGACGCCTTCCTTCGTGCGGCGAATACCCAGCAGGACGGCTGTTCGCGACACGTACTCGACGTAGTCCGCTCAGGACGATTTGCTTGTGGCAGGCGCGTGGTGGCCGGACCTTTCTCAGCCACTCCCGCCGTCGTCCCCTGTGCTTCCACCGCGGGCGCTCACAAGTGCTAGCATGAATATCAGCCCAGCATACAAAGCCATAGACCCTGCTCTTGGCATGGACCCTCAGGCATTCGCTCGGGGCAGGATGGGCGCCGTCGATCCGCCGCTGCTTGGCACGCCTTTGGCACCGCCACGCGCACGCTCGCTGACTACAACATCAATGCCTCCTCCGGCTCCGTATTCGACGCGCCTCGCTGCTGCGAACTACGAGCTGGCTCTAAACGGGTCGGAGCCAGGTTCAAAGCCGAAAGCGCGCCAGAGCCCAGCCGCGACGGGTAGGAGAGGAAAAGCAAAGGACAAGGATCGCACCGCGGTCATTGGATATCGCGCGCACGCGCTATGCAAGGTGAAAGTTGCGAGTCATGCTCATACTGGACCACGTAGGGCCTCGATCATTACCGGGGGAGAAAACTGTTAGCGCGAGCCATGGAAGTCGCATTTAATCGGGCGGACGGTTTTTCTACACCATAGCCAGGAACGCGGAACGCTTCTTCGGCAGAAGATGAAGACGGCGAGTCTGCCAACGCGAGCGAGGTGCGTTCCCCATCATTTGCCTGCCATAAGTGCAAGGCTCATTCGTGTTAATAGTTATCCGGAAGTCGAGTTCGATGTATACATGATCTTTTTCAAATGCTCGAAATATCAAGATCTTAGACTGCACCCACCAGTACCAAAAGTTTACAGAGGGACATGTCTTTAGTCGCGGCTAGAGAGCTGGCTGACCACACCGTCTGCATATTATGCCGAGTCGCTCCGGAAGCGGAGAGCTGAAGTCGCAGTGGCCAAAGTAAAGGACGGAGTAAATTAATATCAGCACCTTCTCTCTATCTCGACTGTTGCCGATACGTCTCTCTCTATCTCGTACTCTGCAAATCCCCGCTGCTCCACCCCCATTATCGTCAGCACCAGCCTGCTTTCAATCCTAAGCCAGCGAAGAAGTCCCCCGCGCCCAAACAGCGCGAGCCTGATCCCGCGGCGAAGACGGCGCCCCCCCCAGGGTGCAGTATGGGGCAGACCGTGTTCGTTTCCGTAAGTGCGATCAGACCCCCTCCCTGGCGTACGTCTGTCTCAACACTGTACGTTGACAATACAAGCCCACCCAGATGCGTCGCTGGTTGCGCTCATTATCTATGTACCGTGGCGGGAACAAAAGAGCTGCGACGGACAAAAACGGATGGATACAAGCTGTACGGACAAGTATGAAATTCGGTGCCGTAGCATTGCTACGGGCGTCGGCCGCAAGGCTTTAAATTATCTAGATACGGAGTCGTGCAGTTCACAGCAATAAATAGCTGGTGTGATACCAAGGAGAATACGGACAGCAAAGACAAGATTGGGTCAGATATTAGATATGGGAACTGGAGCACGATACGAGAAGAAACGACTGACCGCTTCTACGCTGGCATCGGGCAGTATAAGTCAACGATTCACTGGTGGTCATGGACTCACGGCATGGCCGTACATTAGAACTTGCTTGAAGCACATCAACGTTAAGCTATTTTTATGGAGCGCAGAGCGGAATACCCACCTAGTGTGCAACCATAGAAGATCCGATCATCATCGCGCGCGGAGGAGCAGACGACCTGAAGTCGTCTCCTTCAATCTCCCGTCCGGTGTATCGCGGCACCGAAACAATACTGGCTTGTGTCGGTTCTTCTCGGCGCGTATTCGACGGGCCCGCCTGACCTTCGAGACCCTCATCGAGTCCGCCCTGCGGCTGCCTTGCCTCACACTGACTGTCGTCACTGTCTTCTTCGGCTCCCAGTGGCTCTGATGAACCATGGTCCAGAGACTCGCCAATATTCCCGAGGAAATCGGAGGGTACCCTGAAGTTGACAGAGAAGCGCGAAAAGTGTCGGGCGTCCGAGTTATTTTCACTGGCCTGAGCGGTGGGGTTAAGCTGACGGAGATTGAGGATGAAGCGTTGGATCAACAACGGAGGCTACAAATGGCAAAGCCTGGTCAATAATTACCCCTAATGTCCAGGCTTATGGAATGTTACCATGTACTGGACAAAGCCGGCCGCATAGGTGCCCTGTTGGCATATCATCAAAGAATTTTTAGAAAGATACCTTCAAATGCTTACTTCATCTGCGAAATCGTTTGAGTATGTTGTAAGCTCTAGAATGCTCATGCCTAGAAGCGCACTCAGAATTCATATGTTAGACAGATTCGTTGGAGGGCTGCATGATGTGATGGCTTACAGGAAATATAGGGTGCCTAGACCGGTATATCATGAGTTGCATCATATGTAGGGAAGTAAAAGAGGGCAAATTACATACCATCTCTGAGTAACACAGCAGTAATAGAAGTCGTGAGGTTGAGTCGTCGCATCTCGCGCCAGTGTGTGAATGACTTGACCCATGTCAACACAAGGACAATAATGTCAGCTGCAATTAGACTGCATCTTGTGATGATAAGCACTACATGTATGTTCATAAATTATGAGGCAGTAAGGCTAGAAAGTAGAGTGTGGCGGACATACACCTAGACAATGCAGTTAGTGCACAGCCAAGCGGTTGACATAGTACTAAGGTGTGACATACTCCGTGTTCAGCTTCTGCGATACGTTGGTGGAGTTGAGGCATCCAACGCCGAGCTGCGGACTATCTACGAACGTGTATGAGGTGCGTACCCAGTTGAACTGGATCCAAGTTGGTAAAAATTACTATATATGCGAAGGAAGGATGACTCACAACATTGGTTCCAACTGGGACTGTTCCAAGTGTGAGTACAATTACAGCGAATACATATCTCATCCTTGAGCGGGCCTGCCAAAGTGCGTACACGCGCAGGGTGGAGAATACTACTCAAATAGTCAATCTATCTTCATGCAGCTTGAGTATGACAGTGGATGCGCTCAGTGCTCACCCGAAATAAGCACTGTACCCATCAAGTACACAACCACAGCCAGTGCATAAGTCGGTTTACACCTTGTATCAAATACAGTGGTATATTAGAGACAATTTCTCCGGGAAATATAGTGTACGCCTGTAGAACGGCATCATTAAGCCAGTCTCAGGCCATTCTCGAATGTCTACATACTCACACCAAACTTGTGCATAGGATGGTACAATGTTCACAAGTGGGCCCAGGACCATAACCCACCGGAAGGCCAGTAACAGCAGTGAGGTGGCCGTGAACTTTCTTCTCCACACTGCCACAACTTCTTGGTCCAGTAATATCAGGTATTCAAAGACTGCAAGGCCTGAGAAATTAAAATGTAAGTTATTCAGCAAAGTACCACCGCAGCTTGGCAATGATGTAACGTACACAGTAGCGAATAAGACACATAGTCATCTGTCAGGCTAGACACATAGGTTGTGCATCAGCGGTTGAGTATGTGTGACTCAGGTAGAGGGAACCTGTACTATTGTTGTGCTTCCTGATTCAGGACTTGATTTGACTGGGACATGTTGGCTGTGGAGTACGAAAACTTTGTCTGGCCCGCGCAGCAAGTCAGACTCACACATAGGCTATATATATTGTGGCGCATGCAGTGCTGCGAGGCAGCCGGACATCAGGGAACCCTCAGGGTGTTGGAGGCGTCTTGGATTAGATGTCATGCCTTAGTCTGCCTTAGGCGTTGTTGGGACCTGTCTTGGAGATGCTACCCAACATTATCAAGGCACCGAAGGCATGTCGGTCCGATCCCAAGACGCACAAGCGACGTCAAGACGTTTGGACAGTTTCCTGATGCATGGCCTACACATTGAGCGCTCTGAGCAAAATGGTCTCAGACAATCAGACAGAACATCATAGAGGCGGTGGATGTTGCAACAAGATCTGGACATAGACATCAGGGAAAACCCCCAAATATATGATTTAGCGCTAATTAGGGCGAATATAGTCTAATGCACGAGTAAAGCATCTCAGTGATCTAAATAATTGAATTACTACTCGAACTCATGCGTGCTCCGTTACTGATATCACCAGAAGGCACAGCCCACGAGCGCGCTTTAAGATTTAGACTCCTGCACGCGGGCTGAAGGCTCCGTGGGCCTGACGATGGTCCAGTGCTGCGCGATGTTTGTTAACCCAGGTTCCCTCCCCCTCGTCCCAGGTCAGCCCGTCCGTGCACCCCGACGTGTACATCCCAATCTCAGAGTCAAACAGCTCGCGTACATGTACAAGTGCTAGATTGAGGGCAGCGCCTGCACAGCAACCTCGACCTCAGCCAATATTCGCTCCCGCCCAACTTCGAGTGGCCACTGGTCGGGCACGTCCACACGCTCGACAGGCGCGCACCACTCCCGCGGTCAACTCCATCCATCTGGTCTGCTGCTGACACACCAAAGGTTGTAGCGCCAGAGAGATGCTTGACGGCCTCGTGAGCACCTGGTACACACTGCACAACGTACGGCAACACGCACGGCCAAGGCTTCTGCCACCTGTTGGTTACGCGCCGCGGCGGGTACTACATCGACAATGGCGCTACAGGATCGTCGATGGCAAGAGCGAGCTCCCCGTGGACGTCGTCGTCGGCCACAGAGTGCGTACTGGCACTTTTACCTTCTGGCCCAGCAGCGAGCCTAACTCAAACGTGTTTCTAGGACGCTGCTTCGACGACGCGCGTGTGCCGATCTGCAAGCTGCTCGGCGAGGCCGCTAGCGCGGCGGCCCTACCCACGTTGGGCCCTGGTGTGAGCTGCATTTGGTGCAATTGATCGAAATTTTGACTGATATGGACGTTTGTGCAGAGTGAGGAGGTCGGGACTTGATCTATGTTGGTTGAGCTCGGTAGCAAAAGACCATCATGGCTGGCGCAAAGCGCTGTATTTGACGCAAGTGACCACCATCGTGGCATTCGGGGATCGGGAGACCATTCCTGTATGTAAGAGCTCGGGACTTTAATATATGGAAGCCTGGTCACACAACGCTGGTAATCCCTCGTAAGACTGTCCAGTTGTAGACCCTTTCTCACTGGTGGGCTTGCTTGGGCGTTCTTCTGGTGTGGGAGCGGCTTGATGTGACCCTAACCCCACCTCATTTACTTAGGCGCCAATAATCCTTTGGCAGAAGGCTATAAGCGCTCTATGGCGTCGAGCTCTACGCGATTATCTGCTCCTCGAAGCCAGCGCGCTCGACGCCGCCTTCGCTACCAGATGCTCTCAGATTATTGTCCAGCTCTTTGACGCAGTGACGGGTCACGCCAGTGACACGCCTGACCAGTCCGTCAGAGGCCCCGCCCCTCGAATAAATTGGTTCAAAATGCCCGCCCAGTCCTAGTCTTGGGTGTCCAACCGGGATGACTGTCTCTCTCGGCCATGCTCGTAACTTTTTAATTCTTTACAGCAACTGCCCTTGACGCTGCTGCCATCTCGGGCCCCGTACGCGCCGTTCTATGTGAAAATTCCGGCTCAATTCTCTACAGCAGACTCGATGTTCTGCGAAAACGAAAAATACACAAATACTCACCTGTGTTACTCGCATCGCCGCAGCCGCCTGCACCACTCAACTCAGCACAGATGTCACAAACGGACTCTGAGAGCAGTCTCGCATCACCCAAGCAGACGAGGCAGTTTATACACGGAGATGATGCGTCAGATGTGCGGGCATGGAACGGTCTCCAGGACGCTGCAAAGTCCATCTTGGTGCGTCTACGCTATAATGCGCAGCAGGTAAGTACCACGCCGTAATAAATATGAGAACGGTTGAGGGCGTACTGTGATTAAGATGTTCTCACGGCCGAAGGAGACGCCAGAGTCGACATTGATACATTGATGCTCAAATCGTTGGATGTCGGCTCGTAACAGAACCTCTCCAGAATAGCAGCTGCAAAATATCGCTCAGTTCCGTTGTTAACATGAAATGAATTATTGTCTCACCGTTATCGTCCAGAGTGTAGTTCACTTGGATGCACGTAATCTCTTCCAAGGCCTCGACGTCGACGCCATTCAGAGGAGCGGCCTGGCTGGAAGCCAGTAGTGCAACGTCGCGTTTGATTACATTGGATACGTTCTCTGGGCCGTTGACGGTTGGGAAGCCGATGGCGTCTGGGATGCGTCGCCGGAGTCGTTGACGATTGAGCTTGCGGCAAGAAGTGTCCCAGCCTGCGAGGGCTAGCGGATGAGTGTCGCGTAGAACAGACTGAGCCGGAGCCATGAACGTACCTATACTGCGGGTTTCGTGATCCCAGGCCCTACGAGATGGGCAGCGCGTGGGCTGTACAGAGAGGTTCGTTCGCACGATCCCGGGAACAGCCGATATTCAGCTTCGTGGCGTCCCGCCTGATGCGCCGCCAATGTTGCGCTTGCGTTCTGCCGCATCGGGCAAAGGGCCGACGCCAAGCTCCCCTAGGCCCAAGTCCACCGTCTTTTCCACAATGCCATCCATCTTCGCGCTCCAATATGCGCTGATAAAAAAGAGGTCACCAGAACATCGACGACGCAAACGCGCTTGTTCCCGTACACCTCACGTAAGACCAGTCTGGACCTCGATGAAGCCTTCGTCACTGAAGGTCAGCATCATGCGTCACATGGAATTGTGGGGAAAGATCCACTTCAACACACGCTACATCATCACAGAGGTATCTGTCGGGCGGCCATTCGAGACGTATGAAGGCGCGCATCGTCGTATCTGCCGAGCACGATATCAACGCGTGAAGTCGACATCCGAAGAGAGAGCACGCACCCGCGGCGATGTCAACAACATCAAATTCCAGCTCAGTTTCCTCTCTGAAGCGTACTCCGATGTGTGAGATGTTCAACGTCGATACGAGACTCCATCATGGTCTTTCTTTTCATCGGTGACCTGGCAGGCGCAGCGGTCTGTGTAGCAATGAGACGAAACACGGGGGTTGGATACAACCACGAAGCGCACGCATGTCATCTTGCGCGAAAGATATGCCAGGACGCGCCGAGGTCTTCAACGTGCGATTTCCCGCTTTCGCTAGTCCGTCAGGCGTCTCTCTGCGGCCCGACCTTCACATCAGCACCCACATGCATGCAACCGAGTCAGACCGAGTTCCCCGCTGGCCAACACTGCGCACAACCGAGAGTGCGTACTCCGCGACAAGCTTCGCAAGAGGGATAGGAAGCGCGGGCTTGGCGCGTTTGACGTCGTCCTTTGATGTGCAGACTCCCACTATTCGAAGTGAATGAATGGCAAAGAGACAACCTGAGTTCATAGACATGATGACTGTGTGCGGAGACTGGTGCATCGTGACATCTGCAGTGCACATGGGCGAGATGGAGAAAAGAGAGGCCTCAGGCGAACTGATGCCGAGGCTCGCATAGTGGAACGCTGCGTTGCGCGCTGCAGCGCCCGTTAGGCTGGGCAACTTGTAATGAAAGGGGAAACACACCAAAAGAGCGAGCTCCGATGACAACAGCCTTCTTGCTGACGTGCGGCACCGCAGAGCAGAAATTCACAGAGTGTACAACCGTGCCGAAGAGGTCGTCCTGGCTCAGTCAGAGTCAGCGTAGGTATTTGGGAGTTGCGAGAAGAGCTGAGACGACAGATTTGCCCCGCGAATGTCGTGCGTTTCAACGGCCAGCCCGCTGCGGCGACAAGCCTTGCAGATAAGAGGCACTGCGAGCTGCCGGACTTCTGGAGGGCGCCATCCTGCTTCTGTGTGTCGCTGCTGCGACGTATAAACGCGGCAGATGCTGAGGCCGAGACCGTTGATGCCGAACACATCAGCATAGAGCTGAAGCCAATTTGCAGACTTCGAAGAGGTCAGCGTGTGGGCTGCGATAACGTCCTGGACCGGATATTCATTGTCTTTCGCAGGCATAAAGACAGACCAGATAGAGTGAGGTCCAGATTCACGAACGAGTCTGCGGAGAATCGGTGTGCGCAGGACTGTTTGACGGGGGGTAGTATGGCAAACGGCTCTGCCCCAGCCATAACCATTAACACAGCGCCAGACAATGTGGCAGCAAACGTACATGTGCGCCCAAACAAGCTTAGCTTCTCATACCTCTTCTTCCGGTAATCGCCTGCCAGCTCGTCTGCCGCGAGATGTGACGCGCTCGGCGCGTCCAACCCCGCCGCGACCGCCTTTAGTCTCCCCGTGTTCTCGAGATACGCGATCTTCCAGTGCAGAGTCGCAGAAACCCTTCTGGGTGGACTCGTTGTGCCCGCACGCAATGAACTTCGGTGCACCTCTCGAGGAGTCGGGGTGCCGTGACGCACTAGGGCAGCGCCGGCAAATATCCCGCCCTGACATAGCTCTTCTGGGCCTCCGCGGTGAGGCTGAGAGGATCGGCGGCGCCCATGGCGCACTGGAGAGCTGGACTGACAGTCTCAGCTGGGAGGACAGAGTGGACGGGTTACATGAGAGCGTGCAGCAGGTGACTGCTCTCTCAAAGCCACCGTCAGGTCGCAAGGAGCGCGTGTAAGTGACTTACAAATGAAATTTGACCGACGTAAGAGCAGCTATGATCGTGGAAGATATTAGTAAGTAAAGTGTGTTATCGGGCGCTAATATATCAATAGCACGGTAATTAGCCACGGGCGAATAATCCTCGCGTCCGCCTTCAAGCTTACGCGCTCCCTCCCTTATCCAACGGGTCATGTATACGCACAACGTCTTTCAGAATACCCTTGCGAGACGCATTTCCTTTTACTCCCATCATTACCTGAACAGCACAGGATCCACTAGCCTCGTCGCCCGGCCACAACTCCCGTAGCAGCAGCTTACTGCAGCGCGGTCCAACTGCCAAGTAATCATCATCGAGAAAGCCTCTCCATCACGATCTAACAAGTGAGCGTTGCGATCTGCGACATGTCGAGGTCCGCCTGGAGGTCCGCAGAGCTGCGCCGAGACGAGTCTTGCATCTTGTGTCGTATTTCTCTCGGTGCGTGCTTGTCTCTAGTTCCGCTCGTACGTTCTCAACATGTACAGCAGATATCGTCTCATGCGTACACTAATGACCTCAAACACCCTTCAGTCCTTCGCACGCAATCTCGCGAAGCACGTTTCGATGATTATTTCCCTCAGGCGAATCGAGTCGCCTTGCGTGAAAACTTCAACACTCCGCTAGCGAGTTGATACACACAATATCTTCCACGTCTTCCTTCCCTTCATTCTCCTCAGCACTCTTAATGTCCGATGCCCTAGGCCTGACGCAGCTGTCAAGCGTTTTGAAGCAGAAGTCGTCGTTCGCGCTTGGATCAAATCTGCTCGCGGCACGTCACGTCTCAGGACGTAAACGCATTGACCGACGACGCGCTCTATGCCGACCGGTGGGAGCACGACCTCTTCGCCCTCACCTGCAGTATCTGCACCTTCCACGCCATCCATGCGATGTCGCGCTCTATCCTCCACCGGCTCGCCGTGACGCGCTTTGGCGACATCAAACCCTTGAAGGCAATGCACCAGATGCCATGCCCAGACCTCACCCGGGTTGCCGTTTTGTTTACATTTCCAGTAGACGTTGCTTTCGGACGTGGCGGGACGCGGCTGGCGTGCCGTGCTGGCAAGACTTTGTGAGCGGTGACAACGTACACGAACCTGGCTGGTCTCAGGACCTACCTCGAACGCGCCGTGCCCCATCGCAATTTCAATCCCGACAACGGTAGATGGACGCCGGGCTCACTATTCCTGACATCACCGCCCTGCGCAGCTCCCGCCAGCTCTGCGCGCGCCGCGGCGAATATCTCCAGGGTCCGCGCCGCTCGATGCGAAAGCCCTACTTCAGTCCTCTACAGCGAGCCCGATGGCCCGCGAAGACGAACACATCGCGAATACTGCGCTCCCCGCGTCGCAGCAGCCCTCAGCACCGCTCAATTCGACCCCGCCGTCGCAAATAGCGTCTGGGAGCAGTCTCGCGCCACGCAAGCAGATGTGGCAGATATTGTATCAGGTGTTCATGCAACGAACGTCTCTTGAGATGGTAGAACACCCGTCTCGGTATGTCTTCGTGTATCGATGCGCTCGTGGGACCGCTGACGTGGTCAACTTCTTTTGTGTGCCAGCTTACAAGTCAAATGATCCCGCCAGGCATGATAGCCGTGGTACCTGCATCGCCTCATATCCAAATTTTGTCTCAGCAGTCTCGAATGCAACTCGCGCAGGTGACAGTGCCAACATCACCACAATTCGGACGCCTGCAGTACGCGCGTGCGCCTCGCCGATGTCGATGTGAAGCTACCGGAGTAGCGAAGGTGACGACGACGACCAAGTGCAACGCCCGCCGCTCGTGTGTGTATTGAGGTATTGTCCAGGAGGGACCAAACGAGAAGCTCGCGATGGACGAAAGTAGGCAAATACTGGACATGTGATCTTACAGCTTGTATATACAAGTAAGAGACTTGTACCACCGAACTCCTAGGAACGCGTTGTGCCATCCAAAAGGGACAGAATCCTGAGAGGAATATAAAAAGCGGACGCAAAATTGGAGCAGATGCTAAACATGAAGCGAGGTACGAAACTAGCATTGGGCAGCACGATGGTTGGTGATCGCTGGCGACCATACAATCATGGCGCAATCGTATATTGGCACCTGCTTGACTACTTTAAGCTTTCCTGACATACATATAGCAAATCACGCACCTAATCTGCAGCCATGGAAAGTCCAGTGACCGTTCCACACGGGAAAGTGGACAAGCCAACGTTTTGTTCTTCGTCCGCACGCTCGATGAGTCGCAAAATCCGGGCGACGTCGGCTCCTGTTAGTTTTTCCCGACGCGTCATCGACGGGCCTGCCTGGTGCGCAAGGTCCTCTTCGAGTCCGTCTCGTGGCTCTTGCGCTACACAGTGGCTTTCATCATTGTCTTCTTCAACCTGCTCCGACTGGCCATGGTCCAGAGTCTCCCCGATATTCCCAAGGAAATCAGAGGGCACCCTGAAGCTTACAGAGAAGCGAGAAAAGCGCTGCGCGTCCGAGTTGTTTTCGCTGGCCTCAGCGGCGTGTCCGAGCTGGCGGAGGTTGAGGATGAAACGCTGCACCAGCAACAGGGGCTGTAAGCACCGTCGCCTAGTCAGTGATCATCTCTGTTTCGGTTTAGGACATCGTTACCGCGAAGCAAAACACATAAGATACCTATCAGCATAAAGTCAGAATATTTCTGATGAAATGCATTCGGATTGCACCATACTCACAAAACCAGTCAAGGGTTGTAGAGCACTTAGACTGAGCAGCGCGCTCGGAGCTCTATGTCAGACAGAGACGTTATAGAGTTACTAACGTGACATGATAGCTCACAGAAAATAGAGGGTGCCTAGACCGATTTTCCTTGAGAGCGCCGTATATGGATAGGTTCAAGACAGCTAAATGCATACCATCTCTGAGCAGCACAGTAGAGATCGACGAAGTGAGTTTGAGTCGCCGCATCTCCCGCCAGTGCGCGAATGACTTGATCCACGTTAGCGCTAGGACAACGATGTCACAGGCTGAGGCGACTATACTGCTACTTATAAGAGTGGGCACTGCGGGCATGTCAATAATGCGCGGAAGATACAAAACAAAGAGCATCAAACACACCCCTAGACAATACAGTCAGCGCACAGCTAAACGGTTGTCGCAGCTGGCTGGGACATACCATATAGAGCCCAGCTGAGTCGGCGCCATGTTGGTGAACTCGAGGCATTCGACGAGCGGCGGACTCTCTGAGCTCATAAAAATGAACGAGGTGAGTACCCAGATGAACTAGATACAAGTCAGCAAAATTAACTATGTGACTGATGGAGAAATGGCTCACGATGTTTAATCCAGCTGGAAGCATCCCAAGCGTCAGCACAATTGCTGGGAAGACATACTTCATCCTCGAGCCCTTCCAGAGCGCATACATGCGCAGAGCGGAGACTACTATGCAGATAATCAGTCTGTTTCAATATGATTTGGAGGCGAATGTGCTTGGTGCTCACCCGAGATCAGGACCGCACCCATCAAGTGTACAAGCATTTGAGGCGTGTAGCTCGGTTTACACCTCATATGAGGTGCAGCGGCTTATCAGCGAACACATTCATCAGAAAACGTGACGTACACCTGTAGAGCGGTACCATAAGCCAATCTACCCTTAGGCTTCGGCAGAGTACTCACACCAATTTTGTCTATCATCTGGCAATACAACGGACAGAAGTGGGCCCAGGACCATGAGCCACCGGATGATCAGCAGCAGCAGCGATGTGGCCGTGAATTTCCTTTTCCATACTGCCGCAATTTCTTGGTCAAGTGTTGTAAAATATTCGTAGACCACAAGGCCTGACAATGAAGATTATTCAGCAGAGTGACACTGAGGCTTGGCGACGCAGCGACGTACACAGTAGCGAATAAAGGGTGTAGTCTTGCACTAGACTGGATACATGGCGTGATTTGCACGTCAGAGGCAAAGCATGTGTGCTCTAGAGAGAGGGAAGTCGCACTTCTCCGAGCCTTCGTTGGACTGGGTCATGTTGCCTGTGGTGTAAGGAGGTGCTGGCTGGTCGGAGCAGGGAATGAGCGTGCGGTGTAGCTTGACCGGTCGACCCCTCAAGCTTTCAAAGCCTCAAGGCCTCACGGCCAGCGCAGCCCATGGTTGACTCTGCCACATTCAGATAGAAGTATGATGAGATTTCAATTTCAGGATCCATCGCCCGATGCAGTCCGCGTAGGTGCATTCCGAACTACTTCGCCGACAGATAGGCACGCAGACTAGTCGGCACGAAAGCGCGGGGCTAAATTTCTACATTTCAAAGTTTAGCGTAACGCTCAAGCTCCAGATTACGTACATATGCTGGAAGGCTCTGTGGCGTCTACGGGCTGTTTCTCCGACCACGACCTCGCCTCTGTAGCAAAGCTGGGCAATGGCCCAGCGCTGTTGAATTGACAGCTTCTTCTGCTCCGTGTCCTGTCGCGCCCTTCGCGCCCTTCGATACTTCCCGGCCCGGCACGGGCCGCTAGCTGCCCTTGACGGTCACGGCACTCGCATTTTTATCTCCCCTACTATACCTTCAGCACTCGAAAATGCTCATCAAAGCGTTGTAGGATGGCCCGCCATCTCTGCTCGAGGCCGGGACACCGAGAGGCAAAGCCATCGTTTCACTGCGCGTACCGACAACCTCCGTGCGCCCAGCTCTTTCTACGAAGCGGGCAGAGCAGTCTCAACCATTCGTTCTACTTGAAATCGACTTCTATTTGGTACTCTGCAGCGCGAAGACGTCCTAGTCTGCGACCCTCATATTTACCGTGGGAGCAGCGAAGCCGATGTAGGACACGAAGGCATACGCGGATTCCAAGACGTGCGTAGACGTGCGTTCCGCCCGCCTCCTGCCGGCGCATTTGCTGTACTCATTTACATTTTGTTGCACAGATTCTCGAATTCACTGGACGAATGCGCCTGCTGGTATGTACCAAGACACCCGCGCTTGCTGTCGGGCATGCATTATTCCCCCTCCCCCCTCTCCATAGGTGAAGACTGCACGGTGATGACACAAAATGGCCATGTGCGTGCTACGGAACCATGCATTCCTGTCAGTCCCGATAGTACGCGGGCGATTTGGACGTAGTCCGACGTAGAGCAGCTGAGGCCGGTACATGGGCAGGACGATCCTCGGCTGGACGATCCTCGGCTGGACGTAGGCAATACTATAGAGCTCTTGGCGACAGATGGAGATGAGTTACGGGAGCGCAGTAACGAGCGAGCGATTTAGAATACAAAGGTGCGCTTACTGCTCGAACTCATACGCGCTCCGTTATTGATATTGCCCGAAGGCACAGCCTACTCAGCTCAGCTCGTTCACTCAACTCGACGTGTACATCCCCCAGTTCCAAGTCGAGCAACTCGCGCGCACGCACAAGCGTCGAATTGGCGGCAGCACCCGTATGACGACCTCGACCTCAGCCAGCATTTGCTCCCGCCCAACTTCCAGCGACCCCTGGTTAGGCACGTCTGTGCACTCGACAGGCGCGTACCCCCCAATCGACCACATCTGTCTGGTGTGCCGCTGGTCCACCGCCGAATGCGATGCCAGAGAGATGCGATGGCCTCGGGCGTCTCGTGCACACGTTCCGCGACCGCAGCGCTCACGACTACGTGCACTGCTGCCTATTCGTCACGCGCTGCGGCGGGTCCTGAATCGACAACAGCGCGCACTGCAGGGCCGTTGACAGCAACATCAGCGTCAAATACTGCGTCGCGGTCAACAGCAAGACCCCGCGGAAGTCGTCATTATGGCCACAGGGTGCGTGGTGGTATTTGTTGCCTTCTAGCTCGGCGGCGAATTTGACTCAACGTGATTCTTCAAATGCAGCTTTGACGATGCGTGCGTGTCGATCTGCACGCTGCTCGGCGAGGCCGCCAGAGCGGCAGCCCTACTACCTGTGTTAGGCCCTGACGTGAGCTGCATTTGGTACAATTCATCGAAAATCTAGCTGAAATGGACGTGGCTGCAGAGTAGGGAGGTTGGAATGTGATCTACATTGGCTGAGCTCGGTAGTGAAAGACTATCGTGGTTGGCGCAAAATTTGGCGCAAGCGATCGGCGTTCGGGAGGCCATTCCTGTATGTAAGAGCTCTAGGGTCTGGAGTATGGAAGGCTAGCCATAAAATGCTGGCAATCTCTTGTAGGATCGTCTGTTCGTAGGCTCTTTCTCGCTGGAGGGCTTGCCTGGGAATGAGCCGTTTGTCTGGTGCGGGAGCGGCCCGATGTAACCCTAACCCGACCGCGTTCAATCCGGCGCCGAGCGACAAGCGTGTTCGCGCTTGAGGGCGTCGACTCGAGCTCTACGCGATGTCCTCCTCGAAACCAGCGTGCTCGACACCGCCGTCGCTGCCAGTTGCTCTCATTTTTCATCCAGCTCTGCGACGCATCGATAGATCACGTCAGCGGCACACCTGACCAATCCGTCCAGGGCCCGCTCGTCTGATATAATGCCCGCTCAGTCCTAGTATTGGCTGTCCGACTGGGATGGCCGCCTCTCTCGGCTTCGTTCATCACCGTTTAAGCCCTTGCCGCAGCCGTCCTCGACGCCGCCATCTCGAGCCCCGTGCGCACCGCCGATCCCAGTTCGCCGTCGCACATGTCCTCAGGATCCACGCCGCTCCGTACGAAAACTCTAGTTCAATCCTCTACAGTGGATGCGACGTCTCACAAAAACGAAACGTCGTGAATGTTGTGCTGCTCGCGTCGCCGCAGCCGTCCGCACCGCCCAACTCAGTACAAACGTCACAATCAGAGTCTGAGAGCAGCCTCGCATCACCCAAGCCGATGAGGTAGCTGATACGCGGAGGAGATGATGCGTCAGATGTGCAGGCGGGGGGCGTGTTTTCGGACGTTATAATTTTCGTCTTGTTACGTCTCCGTGTATCGGTGGGGTCATTAAACCGCTAACGTTGTCAGCCTTTCGTGTGCCAGCTCACAACCTAAATGAACCCGTCAAGCACAACAACCTCGATGTATGCACCACGACATACACAATCTCGTCTCAGAAGCCTCGAACGTGAGCTACGCAAGTGACAGAATCCGTATTTTGACACCTGCAACACGCGCGTGCACCGTCGTCGAAGTTCATGACGGGCTATCGCAACAGCGAGGACGATGTTGATGAGGTACAACTCATGCTTCGCCTGTCCAGGTGTGCATGATTCCCTGGGTGCGGCGAGCATTTTACTGACCGACCGTGTAGAGTAAATACGGTGTTCATACATTTGACGAACTTGCGGTACAAACGGACATCGTGGGACCAGACCAGGCAAGCACACATTCACAGGTATGTGATCTCTCGACAGATCTCTGTCCCATACTCAAACCTGGATAGCTCCCAGTTTCCCTCCAGGCGCCACCCTAGCTGCGTCCAACGATGCCTCTCGCGTATGGCAGTCCTTTACTGCTCCGCATTCATTTGGAGCATCCCGACGGTGCAACCGCAATGCATTTAAACAGCCCACGAGCGGACATGTCCCTTTCGAGCTCCCGTGGGTGAGGCCATGCAAGCCCTGTCTCGCACGCCGGTGACTGCGTCGCGGAGTGGGCCAGTAAAGACCGCGACGTCTTCGAGGCCTACGGTGGTATCAATGAAGAATGCGGGCGAGAAGCGAAGGAAGGAAGCCCCGCCGTTGTCACCTCCTCCAGCAATTCTTCGTCGACCTGCGATGCTGCCCCCCACCTCCCCGGCTAGCCCAGCCATCCATTCCGCCGCCTCCACAACATTCACTGCGCGCTCCAAGTGATATGTACCACACAACTCGCCCAATGCTCCCTCCGAGCAAAAATTCACAGCCGTCTCCGGGTTTTACGTGCGCCTACCAGCAGACACAGATATATTACAACTAGGCCGTTCCATCGAATACCTTGTGCGATATATATTCAGCAGGATGGCCGGATGGAGATCGATATTCGCGACACGTATTCGACGTACCCCGCTCAGGACGATTTGTTCGTGTCAAGCGCATGGTGGCCGAATCTTTCCCAGTTACTCCCGCTACCGTTCCCTGCGCTTCCATCGGTGGCACCCGTAGGTGCCGGCATGGATGTAGGCCCAGCGCACGAAGTTATGGGCCGAGCTCTTGGCGCGGATCCTGAGGCATTTGCTCGGGGCGCTCCATCGATCCGTCGCCACTTGACGGGCTGTCGACATCGCCACGCGCCCGCCTGCCGACTACAACATAAATACTTCCTCCGGTACCGCATTTGATGCGAGTCGCTGCTGTGAACGGCGAGCTGGCTCCACACACGTCGGCGCCAAGTTTGAAGCCGAAAGCGCGCCAGGGTCCAGCGGCGGCCGGTGAGAAGGGAAAGGCGAAGGGCAAGGAGCGCACCGCCGGTCATTGGATATCGCGCGCTGTGTAAGATGAAGGTTGCGAGCCAGGCTCATAGTGGGCCAAGGAGGACCCCGATCGCTAGCGCAGGAGGAAGCTGACAGCGTGGGCCATGGAAGCTACGTTCAGTCGGACGGACGGATCTCCTACACTCAAGCCGGGTAAACGAAATGCCTCCCTTGGCAGAAGACCTGCAAAAGCGAGCGAGGTGCGTTTCTCATCGTTTGCTTGCCATTCTTGCAAGCTCATTCGTGTTGATAGCTACCCGGATGTCGAGTTCGATGCATACGCGATCTCTTTCAAATGCTCAAGGTACCAAGGTCTCAAACTGTACCCACCGCTACCAAAAGCTCGGAGAGGAGCATGTCTTTAGTCGCGGCTAGAAGGCCGGCTGATAACCCCCTCTCTGCGTACTGTGCCGAACCGCTCCGGAAGGAGAGAGCTGAAGTTGCGGCGGCCAAAGTTAGGAACAAGAAAGATCAAGATCAGCGCCTTCTATCCACCTCGACTGTTGTCTATGCGTCTCTTTATGCTTTGTACCCTGTAAACCTCCACCTCTCTGTCCTCATCACCGTTGATGCCAACCCTGTTTTCAAGCCTAAGCCATCGAAGAAGTCCTTCGCACCTGCGCGGTACGAGCTTGATTTCGCGGCCAAGATGGCGCTTCCCCAGGGTGCACCATGGGGTAGATCATGATCGTTTCTGTGAGTGCGATCAGACACTCCCCTGGCTCACGTCTGACTAAATATCGTACGTTGACAATGCACGCTCAATTAGATGCGCTGCCGGTTGTGCTCATTATCTACGTACCATGGCGGGACGAAGGAGCTGTGGCGGACAAAGCGGACGGATACGAGTTGTACGGACAAGTATAAATATCTGCACCGTCGCATCGCCACGGGCGTCGGTGGCAGGGACTTGAAATCATTTACATATGGAGTTATGCGGTTCGCAGCAATCGATATCTGGTGTGATTCCAAGGGGAGTACGACGGCAAAGACAAGATTCGGTCAGATTTTAAATATAAAATCTGGAGCGTGATATGAGAAGATGCGACCGCCGTCCGCTTCTACGCCGGCACCGGATAGTAAGTCGACGACCATTGTCGATCATGAACTCGTGTCACGGCCGTACATTAGAGCCTGCTCGAAACGCATCAACGTCAGGCTATCTTTGTGCGCGCAGAGCGAAATATTCACCTAATCTGCAACCGTAGAAGGTCCAATCATCATTGCGCGCGGAGGAGCAGACGACCCGATGTCGTCCTCTTCGCTCTCACGTCCGGTGTACCGCGGCACCGAAACAATACCGGCTTCCGTCTGCTCTTCTCTGCGCGTATTCGACGGGCTCGCCTGATGTGCGAGACCCCCATCGAGTCCGTCCTGTGTCTCCCTTGCCTCAGAATATTGGCCGGGGTCGCCATCTTCTTCGGCTCCGAGTGGCTCTGATGGTCCACGGTCCAGAGGCTCGCCAATATTCCCAAGGAAGTCGGAGGGCACCCTGAAGCTGACAGAGAAGCGCGAAAAGTGTTGGGCATCCGAGTTGTTTTCACTGGCCTGAGCGGTGGAGTTGAGCTGGCGGAGATTGAGGATGAAGCGTTGGATCAACAACGGAGGCTGCAAATGGCAACACCGAGTCAATAGTTACCCAATATTATGGCTTATGGAACTGTTACCATATACTTGACAAAGCTGGTCGCATAAGTGCCACCCTGTTGGTATATGATCAAACAGTTTCCAGAAAGATACATTGAAATAATTACTTCTGCGGGACCACTCGAGTAGGTTAGAAGCTGCAGAATGCTCATGCCTAGAAGTGCACTCAGAATTGATATGTTAAATAGGGTCGTTGTAAGGTTGCATGATGCGATAACTTACAGGAAATATAGGGTGCCTAGACCGGTATTCCTTGAGTCCCATCGTATGTAAAGAAGTTGAAGAGGGCAAAGTACATACCGTCTCTGAGTAACACAGCAGTAATAGAAGATGTGAGGTTGAGTCGTTGCATCTCGCGCCAGTGCGCGAATGACTTGACCCATGTCAGAACAAGGACGATAACGTCAGCAGCAATTAGGCTGCATCTTGTGACGATAAGCACTGCGTGTGTGCTTATAAATCACAATATGGTAAGGATAAAAAGTGGAGTATGGCAGACATACACCTAGACAGTGCAGTCAGCGCACAGTCAAGCGGCTGGCGTAGTACCAGAGTGAGACATACGTTGTGTTCAGCTTCGGCGGTATGTTGATGGAGTATACGCATCCAACAAACTGCGAACTATCCACGAACGTGAGTGAGGAGCGTACAGAGTTGAACTGAGTCTAAATCAGTAGAAATAATTACGTAAGCGAAGGAGGGATGGCTCACAATGTCGGTTCCAACTGGGACTGTCCCAAGGGCGAGCACAATCGTAGCGAAGACATATTTCATTCTTGAGCCTTGCCAGAGTGCATACACACGCAGGGTGGAGAATACTACGCAGATAGTCAATTTACTTTCATATACCTTGAGTTTGACGGTGGATGCGCTCGGTGCTCACCCGAAATCAGGACTGTACTCATGAAGTACACAAGTGTTTGCAGCACGTAACCCAGTTTACACCTTGTATCAGATGCAGCTATTTATCAGAGACAATTTCTCCAGGAAACACGATGTATGCCTGTAGAACGGTACCATAAGGTCAGTCTCAGGCTATTCTTGAATGTCTACATACTCACACCAAATTTGTGTATCGGGTAGCGCAAACAGCAAAAGTGGGCCCAGGACCATGAACCACCGGAGTGTTAGCAATAGCAGTGATGTAGCTGTGAACTTCCTTCTCCACACTGCTGCAATTTCTCGGTCAAATGTTATCAGGTATTCAAAGGCTACAAGGCCTGAAAAATTAGAATGTAGGTTATTGAGCAAAGTAGCACCGGAGCTTAGCAATGATGCAACGTACACAGTAGCGAAACATCCACATAGCTGGCTGTCAGACTAGGCACATAGCGTGTGCGTCAGCGGTTGGGTATGCATGCTCCGGGAAGAGGAAAACCGTACGCTGCTAGTTGCGCCTCCTGATCCAGGGCTTGATTTGATTGGGACATGCTTCCTATGGAATAAGAAGGTGCTGCCTAGTCCGCACAGCAAGCCAGACTCACACGCAGACTATATATATACATATACATTGCAACAAATGCAGTGCTGTGAGGCCGTCAGAGAGGCGCGACCTCTCGGGATCAGTGCAGCCTGTGCTTACCCCTACAATCATGTTAAAGTGTACAGCAGCCACAATATATCAATCACTCGATATATGTTGCACTGGTAAGACTTCTGGCGGGAGCAGGTATCTCAAGCTACTTGATAAACAGATGACCTGCACACTGAGTGCTGTGAGCAAACTGGTCGCGGACAGTCAGACAGAGCATCAAAGAGGCGGTGGATACTGCAACAGGATCTGGGCACAGAAGTGCATAATACCGCATTCAACACGGGGTAGCAGATTCCTGGGGTGGGATCAAGGGACCTGAATAGCTATGTACGGTAGATATCGTACCGTACACATATTCGTAACCTCAGATCCCCTACAGTTCCTTGCGCGCCTTCTCATGGCGCACGCTGGTTTCGACTAGGCGAATTACCTCGCTTGCAGGTTGATATACACAGCGCCTTGCACGCCATCTCCTCTCCGTCCTTCTCAGCACTCCCAACCTCCACCGTCCTGGGCACGACGCCGCCATGAAGCATTGAAGTAGAAGCCGTCGCTCACGCTTGGATCAAATCCGCTCGCGGCACGTCGCTCCCCAGGACGTAAATACACTCACCGACGTCGCGCTCTGTGTTAATCGGTGGGGGTACGGCCTCTTCGCCCTCACTTGGGACACTGCACCTTCCACGGCTTCCATGCGATATCACGCTTCCTCGACTGGCTCGCCATGACACGCTGTCAGTGCATGCGCGAACCTGTCCAGTCTTAGGAGCTAATCTCCGAATCTGTCGGGCTCCGTCGCGGTTTCAATCCCAACAACGGCAGGTTGACGCCAGATTCATCCATTTCAGAGGACCCGGATTATCGGCGGAGAGCAAACTGGATTGTCAGTTGCAGCAAGAGTGGGGGATAGCTGGAGGAAGAGACAGGAGAATCTAAGTCTAGACGTGCGCTCCTCGCTCCACTTTCTATGTTTACTCCTAACACTAGGTATCCACGTCAGGTATCAACGCTTCGGCAAAAAGCGACAGGCATGTTTGCGCTCGAAGACATCGCACTCTACGCAATCATCTCCTCAAAACCAGCACGCCCGACGTCGCCCTCGCTACCAGACGTCCACTCCGTCCTAGTTTACGCTCTCTAACTGGGATGGCCACTTCCCTCGGCCTCTCTCGTCGCCGCCTAAGGCTTCGTCACGGCTGTCCCCGATGCCACCGTCGTCCCGAGTCTCTATCGGCCCCACATGCACCGTCGATGACGGTTCGCAGCTGCACATATAACCAAGATCTGCATTGCTGGATGCGAAAGCCTCCCCCTCCCCGAGTTCAATCCTTTACAGTAGACTCGATGGCCGGTGAAAATTGACACATTGCGAATTATGCGCTGCTCGCGCAGCAGCAGCCATCGGCACCGCGCAACCTAGCACCGCCGTCACAAATGACGTCTGAGAACCGTCAAGCGGACGCCGCAATCGATAAACGGAGTAGACATCGTATTAGGCGCTCAAGCAACGAACGGTTTTTGGGAGATGAGATGTCTAGCCTGGTGCGTTTCCGTGTATCGGCGTCGTCAAACTGCTAACATTGTCGAATATTTTACTCTGTGCCAACTTACAGCTCAAATGAGCCCGCTAAGCATACTAAGCGAGGTGCCTGCGCTGCCTCATACTCAACCCTCGCCTTAGCGGTGTAGAATGCGACTGGCGCAGGCGATGGTGCCCATATCGACACCGTTCAGGCGCCCGTTCACAGCTCAGTCAACCGTGCCTGGCGACAGCACGACCCCCGCATTCTCGCTCCCAACCTTTGCCAACCCCGCCGCGACACCTCCCGGCAGCTTCGATGCCCAAGCCATCGCACCCGAGCGGCTCACTGCGTCCCTCTCCGCATCGCTCATGGCGACATCTTGAGGCTCATCTCCTCCCCCCTCCACTCGAGGCCTTGGTAGCGCAACGTCTTCGTCCTCACCTAGGACCGCCGCATGTTCTGTTCCCAGTTCCAGGCTTCCGAACCGACCGCCGAGACGAGAGCCGCTTCGGCGTGCTCGCGCACACGAAGGCGTTCTGCCAGCACGTCTTCCCCGACGTCGCGTGGGTCCTCGTTCACCTATCCCCGCGACATGCGTTGCGGCCGGCCGGGGCACGGCGCGCCTAGTGTGCGGCGCGTCTGGCCTCTGGCGCGCTCGTCGTGCCGACGCACCTTAAAAGGTCACCCCGAGCGGCTGGCCAGCGCGGACCGCGACTTCCGCATGGACTGGAGCCACTGGACCTCGCGGCAGCAACGTGAGCTCGAGCTCATCGACAAGATCCTGGAGGCGCTCGTCGTCGGCGCCGGGGAAGCAGGCCTCGAGGGCTGAAACGCCTTGGCATATGTTTCATTTCTCACAGTTGTGTGCAAGACTCAACGCTCGAACTCCAGCCCCACAATCTGATCGTCAAGGAGTTGAAGAACAAGGTCGCCGGGGACAAGGCCGATTGCGACCTTATCTACCTCCTCTTTGAGACAGCGCTCCCCACCTCTGACTTCCTACTCAACGATCCGACGTCGTTCGCGAAGCGCATACATCGCACAATCTCTTTCGGCCTTGACGTCGACAAGGATAAGTTTACGCCCGCCGCGAACTCGTCAGTGGGCGTCCCCCCACCGGCGGAAGCCGCGTCTGCGTCCGCGATGGAGGAAGTTAACTACAGAGTTTAGGCGCGCCATCTCTCTCGCTCTTCCTCTTGCTCTCTGTTCATCGCCCCCACCTACACTTGCGTCCATGCTCTGAGCATCTCACATCTCATGTTACTGTACGTCAGGCAAGCAATGAACAGTTCATGCATCCGGACAGATATGCTCGATTATTGAATACTCATACCAATTTGTGATAATCTCCGCGCTCGAATGTCTCAAATCTCACGATATCCTTCGCATGCCCTTTCACATCAGTGGCATCGGCCGTCTCTTTGCTTTAAAGAAGAAGCTCCGTGTGCGTATGTCCGGACAGAACTTGTAGACGCGGGCACCTCGTCGCGAGTCGCGACGCTATTGAGTCACACGACAGACTCCGTATAAGGATGCTTTCGACCGAAGGCTGCGCCGGCGCGGTGATATCCCAGAAGATGCTCACTCCAAACACGCGTTCATCTCCCGGATGTCTTTCACCGGCGGCAGGGAGAGATGCAGGGTCTGGAGGGATATGTGCGCTGCAAGGACGCCGATGCTCAGCGCTCAGCGCTCGTGGTCCACACGCTTATGCAAGCGGTCGAGGAGGACGAACTGTAGGACGCCCTCGTGGACGTCCATACCCACATGCTGGGCGTACGCTGGCTCGACTATGCGCTGTGGCCCTCGGCTAGCTATTCCTTGAGCATTTCTAGGGTACATGTGCCCCAAACGCGTGCGGATTTCCGCGCGCCTTGGGAGCATGTGAGCGATACCAGTGCAACAGTGTGAAGTATATGCGCCTTCGAACACTGAACTCAAGCCGAGAGACCCGACGCGTCGGTCGTGCTGTTGACGTGGAGGCGTGCTCAATTCTACATGGATGGGATGGGATGGGATGGTTTCGAGCCAGCACACGGTGGCTGTGGCTTTCCCGTTGATGGCGTAGATTAGCCGTGAGACATGAATCAGAAATAGATCTGTTCCTAACCCGCCATCCCGCCCTCGAGTCCCGCCTGCTTCCAAAACAAGTAAGTCTATTTGTACGAGACAAATAGAGGACGGGGGGCAGTTTGCTCAAGGCGCTGTATATTCTGCAACGGAGAGAGAAGAAAGTGGATTTCTTGAGGCAGGTATACACCACAGCAAGCCAATGCTTCTTTTCGCTGCGCAATACTCAGGCGCCATCAACCACTCCAGTGCGGTTGTAGACTTTGACCGAGTGAGCCTCTCAAAGCTGTTATCCCGCAAGCAAACAACAACCCCATGTTCCGCAAAATCCAAGTAATATGCTCAGAGTCAAGTTATGCCATGGGAGCTATGCAAAATTAGTGAGTCGCGTCAGGAGTGTCTGCACTGCACTTGCGAAAGCAGATGCACGCTGACCTGCTGGTCGAGCACCTGGTGGGCCAACTCCCTGGTACAGCGCCCGGCCCTGTCTCCAGCGTAGAGTGAGCTAGATACGGGGCATAAACTGGGACCAGTGCCAAAATTCCTGTTGAGCCAAGCAAATATCTTCCCGACTAATTGATGTATTCAGCATGTGG